TTCACTTCACATACTATTACCATATTTAAATTATTTTCGAAACTTTTTATTTACCATTTATAAAAACAAATTGTAATAATTATTGACTTGACTTCTAGTTTTTAGGTTAGTATACCTCCCCGCTCCCCAATATATCTATTAAACTCAATATAAATAAAATAAAATTGGTTATTTGCTTACTTCACTCGTATTTATGAAGCTACATTCATTTGGGTCATATGGAACACTAGCGCCACCCCAACTTCTGCCATTTCTTGGACAAATTTTGTCAATTTTCCCGTATGAGTTCGTGCTCCTTATCTAGTCTCCATGGAAAGAAGTTTGAAAAACAAATTCCAATTATAACTTCTAAGTCGTTACCATGACAACAATGAAATTTGGGCAATTAAAGTAACCCATGGTATAGTTCAGTTCTAAGTTTGAACTAATACTCAATATGCCAGGCGCATCTTTGACAGCATTGCCAAATTTGGCTTTTCATAGTTCGATTCCTCTCACTTTGCTAAAAAAAAAAAGGTATACCATATATCAGTTGATGTCTTGTACTCTTTTTGAGAAAATCGAATTTTATTAACATACATGTATTGTATCAAAGATGCGATATTAACATTTTGTTAAAAATCTTGATTTCTATGGAAATTGAGATGACTGTCAACAAGTATGTATAATTAGCGGTTAGATATTTGTCATAAATCATTTTGACACCATTTGTTGATTCAAATTTGTTGACATGCAGGACGTAATGCTTCTGAAGCTGTTCGGATTTACAAGTTTAGTCGATTATATTTCTTGAAGTAATTAAATTCTACACCACAAGGGGGCTAACCCGCCTACCCCCTAACTCACGTAGCCCTTAGAAACCACCTTTACAAGTAGGCTAACCCGCCTGACCCTGGGAACAGTTCTATTAGTTCTAATTGACTAAACTCGCTGCTCCCAAGGTTACGTGGGTTAGCCTGTTTGTGGTTTGGTAGGGGTGGTTTATTGGGGTTACGTGGGATAGGGAGTAGGCGGGTTAGCATGCTTATGGTGTGGAATTTAATTATTTAATAAAAATAAGTGACTAAACTTGCTGTTCCCAGGGTCAGGTGGGTTAGTAGGGGTGGTTTCTCAATGCTGCGTGGGTTAAGGGGCTAACCCGCTTACCCCCTAATGTGGGAATTTAATTATTTCAAGAAATATAATCGACTAAACTTGCTGTTCCCAGGGTTAGGTGAGTTAGCCTGATTGTGGTTTGCGGGGGTGGTTTCTAGGGGTTTGGTGGAATAAGGGGTAGGCTGGTTAGCATGCTTGTGGTATGGAATTTAATGATTTCAAGCAAAATAAGCGCTGTTCCCAGGGTCTGCTTAAGGTTTGGTAGGGGTTGTTTCTAGGGGTTAGGTGGGTTTATCTCGGAACCCGTGGAATTGTGGACTTTGCGCCCATGAAGACATTTGTTCAGGGCGCCGAGTTACGTAACATATAAAAAATTCAGCCGATTTAACCGGGAGCCATTTCGCATAAGGTTTGGGCAGGGTCCTTTAAATGGATAATTTCGTCTGCTGTATAATCTAGGCATATTGTATATCACTTTAAACTTTGAAATGAACATTACCATGAGTTACTTTAATTGCCAAAATTTTGTTGTTGTCATGGTAACGACTTAGAAGTTATAATTGGATTTGTTTTCCAAATTTCTCTCTTTGAAGGCAAATAAGACCACAATGAAGCCTGATAGGATCATTTTTTCTGTTAATTTTTGACATGACCTTTCTGGATACCCTGTACTGATATACTTTTAGACGAGACGTAATATTTTATTTTTACTAACAGTAATTCTTTTATATGACATCTGAGTACACTACTGTTCTTAAAAAATTGGGAATAATGAAAATATTATTCAGGGTCCCGCATAAGAACCGACACAAGGCAGGCGCATGTAGGGCTGTCCAAAATATTGTAATTGTAAATAATAAAAAAGTCAGTAGTAGGCTTTATCTTTCAAATTTGACAATTGGCCAAATAAATTTTACTTCACTTTTCTCCTAATTCTACAAAAAGAAATTTTAGTTTTTAAATAAGTGAATATTGTATGTATCAGGTAAAAGACACAAATAAATAATAATAATCGATATTTTTTCAACAACAGAGGCAGTTGTTGAAATAAAATAATTTTATTACTAACTGACAAGTTTGAAAGATAAATTCATTGCCTGCTACTGACTTTTCGATTATTTTCTGATAAACACTGTTAAAATCTTGTTTCAGTTAATACGGTTTTTCTTGAAAACCATAAAGTTTTTTAAAATTTAACAGCAAAAAAATTTTTTAAATTAAATTCTGCTGTGAATTAATATTATTATTTTTCAATTCGGTTAATGAAACAAAAGTTCGGTACAATTTTAGGGGTGAGTCATCCCTAATGAACACCCTGTAGTGCTTCAATTAACTTTAAATCATAGTCAAAGAATACTAGTCTTAAACCTAAATGATGTACTAAATTTGGTTCTTTTGCGGTAAAGTGTTGCAGATATAATTTTTTTCGAAATTTAGAGCTCCACTTTGGGGACTAATAACTCCTCAGGGGGTGCAACTTTGTATATAGGTAAGTTTGGTTAAATTACAATATTTTGGACACCCCTACATGCATCTGCCCTGTGTCGGTTCTTATCTGGGACACCCTGTATATTTATTATTATAGACAAAGTAAGCCATGGAATCCAGTATGGATTGATGATGGTTCCCTTCATGAAACGTTGGTTGTTTGTATCGATGAAAAAAAAATTCTTTGAAATTAAATATACGAACTAACAAATTGATAAATCTCAACCAAAAGTGAAAAATCCATGAAAAAATTGTAAATTTATTTATAAAAAACTAAATTCCAAGAAGTCCAAATCTATAATACGAATTAGAAGTTATTAGAATTAGTCTTGTTATCTGTTTTTGATGTTTATTCTGTGACTTACTTTATATGTGATACTATGTATATGCATAATATTTTATTACTAAATTTATCTGTAAATATTTTAAAATTTTTGATTTTTTTTGATGAAATTTGATACATACCCGTTTAAAATGGTGTTGAGAACAAGGGTGTATTCAGATTTTAGATAAAAAAGATATTTAATATAATTTTTTGATTGTTTGCCTCCAAAAAAAATAGTAGATTATATCAGAAACACTCATTAAACAAATAATAAATAATGGTAAATATTAATTCTGTTTTACTAGCACTCATATATACAGCGTGGTAAAAAAGTGTTGATTTATTTCAAAACGAATACGGTTTTTAAGTTCTTCCAAATCACCTGGTCTATTTGTGTACACACGCGACTTTAAATAGCCCCACAAAAAAAAGTCTAGAGGTGTTAAATCAGGCGAACGCAGAGGCCACTCGATTGTTCTGCGTCGCCCGATCCACCGGCCCGTAAACGTAAATCAAATCGACTCGGGAATGCTTGTAGACGGCGTTTACACACGCTTAGGACAATGCCAAATGGTACGGGGTGGGCAATTCGAACAATTTCGCTAGACTTACACAAACATTAGTGTAATTTTACTCATTTGAAATGTAATTTTGTCAACTTTCTCTTATTCGGAGCCATTAATAGTGTAAGTAGGCAATTATCACTTATAAGAACTTAAGGTGCATTTTTCTAAAAAAAATTGATATGTAAGACATCGAAATTTTCACACCGTTGTTTAGATAATTATCACTATCATCAATTTCGAACGAAAAAAATATGCGTTGTCATTTTAAAAAAAAAATTATGTCATCCCTGCCGTAAGTGGATTATCGAAAAAAAAAATTTCCACATAACAAGGTGCCCTGGATCAAATAAAAATCAACGGGTCTCACCGTTTTTCGAAAAAAAAATTGTTTAACGAAAATATGAATTTTATGCAGAACTTTTTTACCACGCTGTATATGTAGTGGCAAAACTTCTATGAGCATTACTGTAAGCAAATTTACTGAATACTATTCATTCATTGTACTTCATTATAATAATAATAATAATATCTCTACCCCTCATTCTAACCACGAGAATTAGCTCAGAAGTCGGAGACTTGTGCGGGAGAGGAGGCGAGATATTATTATTAAGCAGGCCGCATTTGCGCCCAGGAACGACTTATGTTGGTAGGCCCTAACCACCACTCAGTGCAGAAATGAGGGAAACCTGGAAAACCTCCTTAATTAGGGGGGTGGTCAAATGCCAACCGGTGTCAATCTCTCACATTGACCTAAGCCAACATTCTTCCACCCTACCATATCTGCACAGAGGGTGCCAATCCTCCTTACAAGCATAGCTAATATACGGTCTACCGGCCGCACGATCGAACCTGGGCAGAATTATTAATTAAGCCGTGCGGCTACTGACCGATAATCAATTATTTCTATTTACAATAATGAATTTTGAAATGTGTCATCATTGGTAAACAGAAATTTCTAAAACTAGCCCTCCAAATTTTAATTAGAAATTATTAATCAATAACGAACCAATAAACAGTTAAAAAACACCTACCTTCTTATAGTTTGTGTATTCTTCAAGAAAAAAATCTTGTTATAATGCCAATGTTGAGCATCCGGGCCAATTTTCAGAAATTTCTCATGGTTTTATAAGTGTTTTTCATAATAAAGTTAGTAACAATGCATTGTTTTATACATATACTATATACTTTTACTATATACTTCATTGATATTTGTCAAATGAACCACATAGTACTTGTATTAGGAATCTATATATTTATTTGTTCCAATGCATCGGATAATATATAAAAGTTTATCATTTGTTTCGTTTCATCAGTACATTATCAAATAATTTTAATTTTATAACCTCCTGAGAAATATGAAAATTTACTTCTCTCAAATTCTCCAGTTTATTTTTCTCTGCAAATTCTCTTAAAACAGAGTTCATTTCAGATGAATGCTGTTTGCTACCAAGTCAAGTTCAAATACAACTACTGCAGCAAACCAATAATAGGACTGTTCTTGCATCACCCCAGTTGGCTCAACAAATTCTACCATTACAGGTATGCTATACTTAAAACGGTTTTATCACTGGACAAGTTATTGAAATCGATGTTTATAAATTTTTTATCCCAGCTTGAATTCAACAATGAACCGGAATGCTTGGCTTGCAACAATGTCGAGTCTCCTTGTGGTCAAACGGTGGATTCTATAAGACATTTGTACTTAGGAAGAACACCCCGTGTAGTTAAGCAGTGTGTCCGATGCGGCGGATCAGCAGGTACTGTCCCTGTAACTCGAACAGCAGCCATTCGGGCTTGGGACCAGAGGTGGTTAAGATCTTGCCAGTAAGTTTATTTGTACACTTTTTTAATGACTTCGGTATGGGAATTTTTTATCACTTTTATTTATTTAGATGGATAGCAAAATTAAAAAAAATAATAAAATAAACCCTTGTGCCAAAATTACTTTTTTCAGTGAGATTTCTGGTTAGGCAAATCTATTTTCATACAAAATAACCCTTAACTTTATTTTGGCACAAGGGTTTATTTCATGAATTTTTTAAATATTGTTCCGCTTCTGCAAATGTAAGCAAATATAGTTTTAGATGTATACAGAATGTCTTCTATTAGGAAATTATTAGGAACATAGTAATTCGCAATAGCCTAAATCGCCCCTTCTCGATTTTTTGTCCGAAACGCGTTATAGGTATGGTAATTTGCCTGCGATATGTTTAGAAACTTTTTCTTCAAACAGAGAGTAAAGTAAATTAACCAGATATAAGCCACCCAAACTGTAACTAGGCTTAAGACTACTATCTCCAAAACACTTAACCCCCCATACCTCTCCCTCTCCACCAACTACCAAAGACTGTCATGTGACTTTTCCCTGCTTACTGGTTATGTAACTGTTTAATCGTGAATTCCATCTCACAGCCACCTAAACGATCACTATACTATCCGACGCCGACCCCTGACAATTGAACCACCCACCCCCAAGTTTCGGTAGTTTTATTGAGCGATAATCTGTCAAGTGCATCCCCTTGACCTTTGGGGGTGGTTTTGGGGGGTTGGTGGAGGGTTGTAGGGCTTGGTGCCCATTGATAGTCTTAAGCCTAGTTATGGTATTGGTGTCTGTAAGTTCAACTACAGTAGTGAAATATTATGGCAAGCCAATTGACCTACAATCTGTCAAGTTCATTACCCTCATCTTTGGATGTGGTTTTGGGGGGTTGGAAGGGGTTGTAGGGCTTCGTGCTGATTGAGACTTTTGATCAGCATGACGAGGACTATCAAAATACGAAGTTTCATAAAGATTGACCGGTGTTCAATTTCCATATGTTTTGTGCGAGGTTCTTTATAGTCTTTATACAAAAGTGCCATACAAAATTATTGGCACCAGAAAAAAACAATTGGCTGTGAATAAAAAAAATTTTTTATCATTTTTCCAATTTGGAAAATCCATTTGACAGCTACTATAGTACTATATATTTTCAATTTTATTACTGTTTTAAATTATTCAAGGGTTAATATTAACAAAATTATATATTCCTGTACGTCATTTACCCCATAACATTAACACCAATGATAATAAAAAATTATATTACCGTACATTTTTGATGGAACATTCATCGATGCTATAAAAAATATTTTTTAAATCTCAATTTTACTATACTCAATAATTAACAATTCCTGTACGCCATTCATTGCAGATTATGAAGGGAGTTAAGTAATGATGAAAAATGATATTGCCGTTACATTTGCAGGGAATATACAAATAATATATGCATAAATTGTATAAACAATAAAATGAAAAGAAATAGCGATTCGTAAATTCCAAATAGGTAGACCAATAAAAATGTAAAAGTTGATTGGTTTTTTGAAATGTTGGAGACTAATACTGTGATCCTCGGCGGCAAATTCAATTTTAAGTATTACATTAGAACCTTTACAGAATGCACCATTTTCATGTTTGATTAATTTTTTTAAATAAATTATTTTTCAAAGAAAATTATCATAAAAATTATTATTGATTTTACAATTTTATGTTTTCTACATCAAACAATTTTATTTTATTTGTTGTATTGCATTCAAAATATATAATAATAATTGAATAATTGAAAAATAAAAAATTTATTTTGGCAAAACAAACAAATTGAATTGTAAATGTGTGTACACATATTAAAAATTTTTGCATGAAAAAAAAATTGCAGTTATATGATATGTTTTTTTGGAACTTTTCCCTTTAGTGCCACGATATTCATATGGCAATATTTATTTAAGTTAATTTTTAATGAGTTTGAAAAGGGCACAAATGCCGTACAGGAACTTTTCAATAAAATATCCACCCCTTGAGCGGAAAATTCATTTCTCTACTGTGACCTCATGTGCCATAAAAAATGTACGGCATAATGACTTGAGGTGTAGTTTTATATAGCACTTTCTAATTTTTTAATTTTAGGGCGCCTCTAATAATTTTCCTTATGCTACGTAAAAGGTAAGTGTTGAGCAAGGGTTAAAAGCCTTTAGAGCCAGTGCATTCGTACGGCATAGTAATATATAACTTTCAAATAAATATCTTTATTTAAAATCAGGCAGTTTTCTATAATTTTTACATTAGTGAAAATATTTGGAAAATGAAAATTTTTTATTCTTTCCAGAACCGTTATTTTTGTACAGCATAAGGTTTTTATGTCTTATTTTTCGAATGCCATCAATTTCTATTTAATTGATTTACACGGCCCAAAATTGGAAAGTTTGATTTTCTGCTGACAACCCATGTGCCACGGAGAATTGACGGCATAGTGCACAAATGTTTTCTTTTAGTTTGTAGTATTTAAGTCATGGACTCTTACGGTGCCTTAAATGATTAGGAAAATTTTCCTATCCGGCCCTTAGTCTATTTTACATGATACACTAACCTACCCTATAATATTATCTGGTTCTTGTAAATAACCCTGAGTTTCAGTAAAATATACAAGGAGCATTTAAAAATAAAGTAGGTAATCCTTACACCAAGATGATATTTTACTCATAAAGTCAAAATTTTTATGATATATTCTCTAGAAAAATTTTTAAAATTGGTTAAAACAACTAATCAAAGTGTATTTTTTTCAGGTGTGGTGGACTGTGGAGGATGCAAGTATACTCATAACTTATTGGCATTTGTATGTATGTATTGTATTGTATATCCTTTTTGTAAATATAAAATAACTTTAAAATAAGTAATTCTGTAAAAATAGTGTTTATTACAACTGATACAGTGATTTTGATACATTTTCGAATTTTTACAACCCACATACATTGTATATGAATTTATTGTGTTTTTCAAACAGAGATTACTTAAAACTTAGAAATTAATTTTTTTTATGAACGTTGAGCCAGAATGTATGTTATCTTAACCAATTGGTGTTATAATAGACTAAGTAGTTTTTATTTATTATAAATAGGTTGCACTTTACTTGGTAGCATTTGAATGTAGGATAACTTTTTATATTGTCAAATATAAAATATATATTTTAGCAAGTGTTTTTTTTAAGTGATACATTAAGCATAATTTCACAAAAAGTAAAACATCCTGCACATACATATTTTATTGTTAGTTAAGCCCGCTAACACACTAGCGGTTAAAGCGTACAGCGTAGCCGCGGTCGTTTAACTGCTTATTTTGAGTTGAAGTTCTGCCACTCCATATTCCAACTCATTTTTTGTGTTGCAGAATAACTTTTGTAGCTGCGATTTTTTTTTATAATCATAAGAGACCATTTTTGTAGGGCAGTTAATTTCCTACAAAACTATGAATTGCGCATTTCATAATGATTTTTTGTTAACGAGTTATAAACTTCATAAGGAAAACAAAAATTTGTCTTAAAATAATCAAACTTCAACCTTTAATATCTTTTAAACGGTGAGGTTTACGAAAAAATTTTAAGAGACCTTTTTTGTACAGCATTCAATTTCCTACAAGTATATGATGGGAGATATTTTTAACGAACAGTTGATAGAGAGATATGATTTTTTTTTTTTCTAATACTGAGGAAAAAATGGAAAACTGTAAAGCGGAGGACTTTCCTATTAAAATAAAGAGCTCATATTTGGAGACGATTTTCTAGAGGTGTCTAGCAACCTATTTTTCAGAGAATAAAGTAAAAAAATATATAGTCAATTTTTTTGACCCACCCTAGTCCACAGTAGATTCTTTAAGCGATGTCCGCAAGGGAGAAACATTTTTTTTACATATTGATACAATTGGTCAACATCTAATGACGTTATAAGTATTCAAAATCAGTATTCAAAATAACCCTAGTTTGTCATAAAAATTATTTTCCTAAAGTGCCCCTTCATGCAGATACAGAGCCCCAAAGGAGTACCCAGCGATTTACCTTTTCGGTTGTAACTTTCGAAAATTTTCGAACCGACTTGTATAATTTAATAAAATTTTAATATTTTATGTAGGCCATAAAAACTCATAAAATCATAAAACCATACTACGGTAAATGTTTTAAACTTGTCAGGGAAGTCAGGAACGGACTTGCCACCACACTCGTTGGCCCAAAATTTTGACAGGTGTCACTTTATACAGCCGAAAACCGAATTTTTAAATATTTTTGTTATTCCTCTTTAAAAAAGGCACTCTACATTTGTTTTGATAAAATCCGCCGTTTTCGAAAAACTTCAGCTTCTGTACAACACGTTTAATAATAATAATAATAATAATAATAATAATAATAATAATAATAATAATATATCGACTCCTTATTCTAACTACGAGAATTAGCCCATAAGTCGGAGACTTGTGCGGGAGAGGAGGCGGCATATTATTATTAGACAGGCCGCATTTGCGCCCAGGAACGACTTATGTTGGTAGGCCCTAACCACCATTCAGTGCAGGAATGAGGGAAACCTGGAAAACCTCATTAATTAGAGGGGTGATCAAATGCCAACCGGTGTCAATCTCTCACATTGACCCAAGCCAACATTCTTCCACCCTACCATACCTGCACAGAAGGTGCCAAGCATAGCTTAAACATTAATTGATTTCATTATAAAGTTTATTAACATAAGCTATTTAAACACTATACTAATGGAATAACATCACAACTAATAATTCGTATTAAAATAATAAAATTTGGCATTATTATTACATCTCATTAATGTTTACATCTAACTTGTGAATGGACAAGCACTCGGCAATTGTGTGGAAGCAAGAAAAATTTATTCTGATACATTTCCAAATCACTTAAATGCAAGGTTGTTAAAAATTCGAAAGCTTTGCTTCTTCTTGTTTACATCAGCACATTTTCAAAATGGTCATCTTTTTTACATTTCCTTATCTGCCAGATGTTTTCTTGTTGTACTGGACACAATATTCCAAAATTGTCTTGAATTTCGTTGCAATAGTGTGTTATTTTTTCTATCAGGCTTTTCATGGTGTGAGCTGGCATCGAATATGCAAGCCTCTTTAAATTGCCCCATAAAAACAAATCCAATGGAGTCATGTCGGGCGACTTCGGTGGCCATAAAATAGGCTCATCTCGACCTTATCTATTGATAACCAAAAGTATTTGATAAGTGCTGACTGAACTAAATTGCTAAAATGGGGGCATGCACGTCATGCATAAACTACATCTGATTTCTAATTTCTAAGGGCACATTTTCTAATAAATCATTTAAGCTTTGTTGCAAGAATTGCAAATACATGGGACCATTTAACAATGAGATGATTCCCAATAATCTCCGCCCATATGTTAACCATGTGCCTTTGTTGGTGCTTTGTCTGTACTATTGCATGGGGATATTCTTCATGTTAGATATGCAAATTATAGTAATTCGTTACTCCTTCTCGATTGAAACTGGGTTCGTCCCTGAACAAAACAATACTAATAAAATTTGTATTTTGCCTAAATCGTTGCAAAAACCCATTTGTGTATTCACTCTTGCAGGATGATCAGCGGGAGACATTTCCTGTACCTTTTGGACGCAATAAGGATGTAGCAATTGTTCTGGAAGGGTCTCATAAACGGTCCACTTTGTCACATGAACTTGGACTCACAGCTTTCTTATACTATTGTAGGGATTTTCAGCAATCTCATCCAGAATTTCCTCCTCTAACTGAAGGTTCCTTGCTCTTCTTGGGGGCCCTTCTCTACCATGATGCGGCAAAAAACTTCTTAGAATGTATTAGCAAAAGATTAGCTACTTTTAGCATTTTTTTATTTCACTTGACTCTTCACCTCTTTCTTGTAAGCTACAGTCAACCCCTTGAGACATAGTTCGGTACGGTAAACGCTGATTTAGAAATGTATCAGAATAAATTCTTCTTGCCTCAACACAATTGCCAAGTGCTTGTCCATAAATTAGATGCATGTCAGCATATTCGTTATAGAAATAATGCTCCAAGTGTTGTCAATAACGACATAAAAACGACTAGTGCTTTATTGCAGAATTCTGATTCATTATTTCAATGACGTGATATACAAAAAATGAATTTTTTCGAAAACGGCTAATTTTATCAAAACAAATGTCGAATACCTTTTTATAAAGAGTATTTAAAGTATTTAAAAATTCAGTTTGCAACTCTATAAAATGACACCTGACAAAATTTTGGCCCAACAAGTGTGGTGGCTAGTTCGTTTCTGACTTCTCTAATAGTATAAAGCATCTACTGTAGTGTGGCTTTATAGGCCTTTCAAATCAAATCAAATTATATCAAATCATTTATTGGTGTCTATACATTAAAATGTTTACACAAGTCAAAGAAAGAAAAACACGAAAGGTACAACCTATAAGCAATACTACACTAAAGCTAAAAAACACATTCAGATAAATATAACGTAAACAGCTTAAAAAAGTGAATATTATGAACATACATTATATATCTAAAAATTGGTCAGCAAGGAACTCGTCAAAATTGTAAAACGCTTTTCACTTCAGATATATTTTCTAATTCTGGCCTTAAAAGTCTGAATTTAGTGATCGAATCTCAGATGGGAGTTTATTAAAGAATTTAATGCAAAAGTAATTTGTGCCTAATCTTGTGTCGCTTTCTTGTATGATGATAATGAAAATTTTCTTGTCGAACAAATCTATTCTGATTATTTTTTATATACATGAGACATTCAAATATGTAAACTGACGGCATTGTAAGAATATTTAGCAATTTGAAGTGCTCCCGACAATCATCTCTGTATTTTATTCCAGCCATAATTCTAATACATTTACGTTGTAAACCAAAAATTTTATCATTGAGAGACGAATGACCCCAGTTCAAAATTGCATAAGTCATGGTTGCATGAAAAATACCATAATATGCAGAAATTAGTACAGGCTTAGATACTACACGATCTAAATTACGCAGTAGGAAAATATTCTTACATTAACGTGCGGATAAATCATTGACATGTTTCTCCAACTCAATTTAGTGTCAAGGTGAACTCCAAGAAATTTAATGCTATTTGAGTTATCACAAGTATTGATACGGTGAAGTGTAAAAAGCAAAGATTGAGTTTTGTCAATATTTAAGTTCAATCTATTAGCAATAAACCAGTCCTTTATCAGCAGCAGCGTATCCACTGAATCCTCTGTGAGTTTAATTAAGTTATTATTTGACTTTAAAGCGGTAGTATTATCAGCAAATAAAATAAAATCAGTAGTTATATCACAATTTGGGAAATCATTGATATAGATAAGAAATAGAATAGGGCCCAATACTGAGCCTTGGGGAACTTGATGAACTATTTTTGTTAGGTGTAAAGAACAAGAATTATAAAAAACATACTGAGTTCTGTTCGATAGATAAAACTCAATAAGGGACACGCTATTGTCATCAAAATTGTAAAATTTTAGTATATTTAAGAGAATTATGTGGGACACACAGTCAAATGCCTTAGTCAAATCGTAAAAATTTCCACTTACAACATTGTTTGATTCAAATCGTTTAAAATAATTGTAGTTAACTGGTTAATAGCTAAAGTGGTTGACCTTTTGTTCCTAAAACCGTATTGATGACTAGAATGGAATAAATTATTGTTTTCAAAATACTCTGCGATTTGCATGTTTAAGGCAGTTTCGAAAACCTTTGCCAGAACGGGAACAAGAGATATTGGTCGGTAGTAAGATACATCAATCTTTCTCACCTTTCTTAAAAACAGGAATGACCTTGGATAACTTGAAAGCTGTAGGAAATACGTTGGAGCTAATACATTGATTAATTAGTTTAAATAGTGGAAAAATTATAATGTTTTTAAGAGTTTCCAAGATTGGAACATTCAAATCGTAAGCATCTTTGCTTTTTTACTTTTAAGTTATTTAAAATAGTCCTTCCTTTATTAAAAGACAACTCTCTGAATTTAAAAGTCGTTTGTGACCTCGGGCAGTCAAAAACTTGGAAGGTAACTTGTTGGAAAGCGGGAGCTCACTCAAAAGACGCTCTGCAATATTGGAAAAATAAGTATTAAAGTCATTAGCGTTTAATGAATCGCTTACAGGTGAACTGCGGTAATTTTTATTTTTTATGAGGTTC